CCCGTGCAGATCGTGATTAAAAAGCAGTGGTTGCGTCTAATTTCAAATGGCTAGATATTTTTGTTTAAAGCCAGTTTGTTTGTTATTAAGCAAATAGCGCAAATAAATTTGCTTAAAAATCAGTATGAGTATCAGAATCCAATTTGCTAGTTAAAAAAAAGAAAGAAAAGAAAATCTGAATTCTGAATCAGCTATGACCGGCGCATCACTAATTAAAATACTAAGTAAAAGGCCTCAAAATTGAAGTACAATCTGGGATGTCTTTTTCTATCAATTCTTCAATAGGTAGATCTTGTCTTTCATAAAGGCCGAGGTCAGGGATCTTGGGCCTAAAAAGGTTGGTGACCACTGATTTAGGGAAATTGGGCAAAAGGAGTCCAACATTGAAAATATTTGTGAGGTAATTGTAAGATGACTTGGTGATGGTACAATGCTAGCCCTAACAGCCATAACCTTACCCACAAAATGAGATAAAAATGGTTACAGTCTTCATTAGAAAACACAGGAACAGGTAATGTAACAGGAGGAGAAACAATGCTGTTAATAGTCTCAAACAGAGATTTAGGATTCATTTTGCAGGCAGATATCAACTTCTTAAAATAAGATGCTCTAGCATCCCTAATCATCTCATTCAAATCTGACAGGAGCTCTTTAAGATGCAGGTGGTGGACTTGGAGCTGAGTAGCTTTCCACAAACGCTCAGTCTTCCGACAAACATGCCTGAAACTGTGGATGGCATCATTTATCCACAGAGATGTATTGACAACAGGGATTTGCCGAGACTTAAGAGGAGTCACTCTATCCAGTAGCAAAGTGCAATGATCATTAAACAACTGTACAGTATTGTCAATGTCATTTGAAAAAAGAACCGAGCTGGAGTCAAAAGCAGTTGAGAAATTCTCAACAGCAAATTGGCAGATCATGCGAGAGCAGGACACCCGCTCAGTTTATTTATAATGAAGTATTGTGTAGATATAGTAAACTGATCAAGACCAAAACAGTACTGGTATCAGATTGGTATCAGCAGATACTAAATATTTAATTATCGGACATGAAAAGGTGTTACTGAGACATCCCTAGTTTCTATACAGGCTTTAGACAAACTCCACATCTGGGGTGTGTTCCCATAGCATCACCTACCAACAAAGCATCTTGTTCCCTATTCAGAGTAACAGACATTTATTTTTAATTTAGTTACTAGAATGTTAATATTGCATTACTCACGTGTTCCTATGTAGTTATATGGAACAGTATTATAAAGTGTTACTGATCTTATAGTGCATAATTGCAATATGGCATACATGTTTTACTACAGAGGACCTGTTCATATCATGAAATACAGAGAAAAATAAAGAAACAATTTATTGGTCATTTCAAAACATTTTTTAAGGTAATAAAATAATTTATACATTTTAAGGATAGGTATTAAAATATTTATTAAAAGTAATAAAATCAAGAAACTCAAATCAAGAGTTCATCAGCATTGTATTTCAGCATTGGAACTACCTAAAGACAGACAATAATAATAATAATAATAATAATAAAATCCCCATGTTTTTCAGAGCCCATGTTCAGTCATTTCCAGCATATCCAGATGATACACTGAAGAATCAGTTCTGGGCTTCTCCTGATTGATGGTGTTAATGCTGAAGTTCTTCAAGCATCAGGGTGGAGTTACTGCAGTGCTGGCAGTAAGCATGTCATTGTTTGGCTAAGAATGGCTGAATTGAAGAGGCAGTGAATCAGTTCTTAGACCCAACTTGCTCCAGTCTGTCTGAGTCTCTGGCCAGGATGGGGCTGATCCCCCTGAAGCTTCCATATGGCCGCTTTGGTGTCCCACTCAGGGCTGGTGGGTTCCCTGTATCCATGGGGCAGATATAATCTGTTGATTCATCCATCCTGAGCTTTCTTAGTTGTCGGAAATGAGTAAAACCAAGCTTCTTTGGCTAAGACAGATAAATTAATAAAATTACAACATGACAAAAAATATACTTGCAACTTATATGTAGCATAAAATTTATTATATTGTTTGGAATATCATACCCTGACTTTGGCAGTGGTGGAAAGGGGTGCATGCCCACTGGCGTTGACAAACTCCTGTTTCTCCTGCTGGGCCTGAGGCCCCACCAGTGTGTTAAAGTTAGTGGCGAGGTGGCGTCTTAGGAGGGTCTTCTGTGGAGGGATGTTGAGCAGCATGGCCAAGGTCTCAGAATGAAAGCGAGGCTCCAGGATCTGATAAGCAAATACAAACAAATTAAAGGGACATTTCACCCATGTTACAGCTAAAGTAAAATCAGTTTGTTTAACATGATCACAACTGCAAATTAAAATAGATAAAATACCATGCATAAAATGTTTCTACTATGTGACACTGAAATAGGTGTCCTGAGAAATCACACACTGACAGCCCTTTTGTAAATATTAAAAAGGAGTTGGGGAGCAACCTTTCAGCAGAAAATTAGCCAATCAGAAATGCTCTCTTCCAATGAGTAATATTATGTATTTGTGGTTGCTAACATTGATATTGATGTTGCTAACATTGATAATGATATTTCCTGTGAGGTCAGAACAAGGGCAGATGTCCTTGGTTAAATAGTTCAAATACATAGGCAAGGTGTTTTATTTGTTGTAACAATTGTCTAAGTGTTGTAAGTGATGTTAAGAGCTTCACAAACTTGTGCCTTCTGTCCTCAGCTCTATCATTCAATGATGTGCCTGCAAACCTAAGCATTTCAAGTGCGCTGATATAGCTGTCCAACATCTCTTCTCATTGTTTGTGTCATTACACGTGTGTGCATTTGTGTTCTAGACAAACTTTCAGCCTGTGTATTAGCAACAGGGATTTTTCAGTGACTTTTCTGTAGGTTACAGAATTAGTAGTAGGTGGTTACAAAAGTAGTAGGTGGCTGTGTTTATGGGTAAGTCATTAAATCATTTGGCTAACCGATTTGTTCAAAAACACTGATTCATTCCGGAAAGAGAACCAACTGAGCCTGAATCTATAGAATAATTATGTTAACAAGACAAACTACCTTAAAAACTGTGCACAAGTGTACCTTGAACCTTGAGTGTTTTAAAGGTAAGGATGGTTACACCAAATATTGATTGGATTCAATTAATATAAGTTAATATTTAATACAAACTATCCATGGTAATATTTTTGAAAACATTCTCACTTTTAAGCATTGTTTCACAAGTGCTTAAAACATTTCTCAGTACAGTAGTTTGCAGGTAGACAGCAAAATCATCAGTTACAGCTCAGACTTAACTGCAAATAAAATAACAAAATAAATCTCTCAATATCTCACATAAGGATGACAAAAAAGAACCTCTAACGCTAACATTCTCTATTCTGTTTCTATCCTATCTTTTTGATTTCTTTTCATTTATTATAAAAAAATGACCCTCTAACAGTAGCATATTCTCTTTCTATTATTTTGACTTGTTTTATTTTTATCTACTTGTTTTTTTCTTTTTATTTATTATAAAAAAAAAAAAACCTTGCTACTTGTACTGCATTACACTAACTGAGACTTGTCACAGCACTTACGTATTATTGCCATTTTGTTGGTTTTTTTATTGCTTCTATTGTCCTCATTTGTAAGTCAGTTTGGATAAAGTGTCTGCTAAATGACTAAATGTAAATATCATTGCTCACACTTGCCCCTTGCCCATCAGTTCTTGTATATATTGTCCTCTTTCAGTTCAATTCTTTGTTTAGTATTATTTGCACTGCCATACGATTTCTCCTATTCTCCCTGTTTGGATTATCTCTCTGTTTTGTTTCAATAAAATACCTGCCTCCTTCTCCTGTTTGCCTCACGTGTCATGACGGGTACAATGGATAAAATACAATGGATCTAGCAGCTGTCCACCTCTTCCTCCTCACCCAGGAAGATCACTCTCTCGAGGACCACACATGAAACTTCTTGGACCTTGCCCACCAGACCCACTATCCCGACAGTGCACTTATTTCTTTCTTTCATGTCGGACTCAATGAACAATGGAAATAACAACAACAACCAGAAAAAAAACATTTTTTTTTTGGTCTCTGCCATAGGCAGAGTCTGGACTCCACCATGGCACCACCATGGACTCTTTCATCTGGGGGTCCTAGTCCTCCTTCCTTCCTCCCGATAGTCATCATCACCCCCTCCCACCACCCAGGTGTAGTTTTTGTTTACAATGCCTACCAGATGGGATGTACTGTTACAGTTATGTTCAGTTTCTTGGAATTTTTATTTGTATAACACCTGTTTTACCAATAAACTCACACCTGTTCCTTGTATACCCCTCATCAGTTCTAGTATATCTTGGCCTCTTTTAGTAAAGTTCTTTGTCTTGAATTGTTTGCAATGTCTTATGGTTTCTCCTGTTATTCTCCCTATTTTGATTATCTTCTTTGTTTTGTTCAATAAAACAGCTGTGTTTATACCTTCCTCCTTGTCCTATTTCCCTCCTATTCCTAGTTCCAACTGTTGTTCATTTGGACAGTACACGTTGCTGAGTACTAAATAAAGTGTTTCCTCACTTTTTGACCTATACATGTTTATGAATTTTCTATATTATTGAAACTTGTTTTGTCAGCCAGTCATGACTTGAACAGGTGGTTACTCTCAATGTACCGAATGCAGTGTTTTAGAGCAGGTTTTACTTTTATTTACTAGAAAGGACAACCCTGTTATCTATATATATATATATATATATATATATATATATATATATATGGCACGTTTAATGTACTGAAATATTTAAACATCATAAGCAGTAGTACTTTAGTGACCAGTAAAAGCTGACTCACAATTAGACCTCCATGAACACCGCTGCCTCTCAGGTTTGGAGCATATTCAGCCAAATCCACTGACCTCAACCACTCCATCACACGATGGTTGGACCACTGCACCACCTCAGATGGAGATGTCTTATTCTGCAGAAAAAAAGGAAATATAGTATTTCAATATCTTCAGTGTTTCCAGGTTTATCCATGCTTTGCCCATACAGTAATGTAATACATGACATATGTCCTTATATCACGAGTGCTGTTGTCATATGTTGTACTAAAATACAATATATTATTATTACATATATACATCCTCGGGATATACGAAGTTATAAATTCATGCCATATCTTAAATACCCATATTAAAATTATTTCAAATACATATATTAAAAATATTTATATGATTTTTTATATGATAATGCATGTTAACTCAATATATGTGAAAAATATATGTGCAATTTATATATGCAAGCTTATTTAAATAACATATGCAAATACTCAGTATGCTTATATGATTTTATATAGGTCTATACCAAATATGAAATACCCATAGTAAAATTAGTATATATATATATATATATATATATATATATATGCGAAGGAGATGTGTTGCACTGCGTGAGGCAAATGGTGGTCACACCAGATACTGACTGGTTTTCGGACCCCCCCGGACCCCCCAATACAGTAAAACTGCACATTTTAGAGTGGCCTTTTATTGTGGCCAGCCTAATGGTGTGTTCACACTAGACGCGAAGCGAATATGTTCATCGCGTCACTCGCTCAAGATTACTCGCGGGATGTTTTTCGTGTCACTCGCGCGAATAAAAACAGCGCGATCAACCATGGTGGAGATAACTACAATCGCTGTTTTGTAACTGTTGTCAAAAAGTCCCAACTACAATGGAAAGCCAAACGCCGACGTGTCTGGGTTCACAACACCATCCAGAGGAGGATGAATAACGTTAGGATCCTATATTAATGTGTGTGTTACATTTTACTACTGTATATATCATCGCGCATTTCGCAGCATTCGCGTCACCCCGCGCGAATTCGCCTCTATTCGCGTCTTTGCGTTGACTTTGTATGTAATCTACTCACGTGTTTCATGTAATCGCTGCAACTTTAATCAGTGTTTATTACCCTTTTTTTAGGGAAATAAGGTTATTAAAATGTGTGTAATATGTGAAGTTTAATCTTGAACGAATAGGCA